GTATATGTATATATATATATGTATATGTATATATATATATATATATATATATATATATATATATATATATATATATATATATTTAAAACTTGCATATCTAAAACTTGATAGTTGCACTTCTTCTTTTAATTGATGACAAAGGGGGAGAAGTCATAATGACAATCATGCATGGGATGATGTACTTAGAGATTTTGATTATGCATGAGTTTATGTTGCATGCAATGATATGATTAATTGGGTCTTTCAATATTCATGATGCATGCAAAGGTAAAATACTTATAATTTTTTGAATTCAAGGTTCTATAAATATGACATATTGATAGGAGGAGTTTTGTCTAAATTTCAACATCAATTAGTTATCATCATAAAAAAGGGAGAGATTATTGAATCTCATATTTTGATGATTAAATCAATTGATGTGTTTGTGATATAATCTGCGTTTTGAGTGACGTAGGAAGCTTCGATCAGGAAGAGACAATTAAAGAAGGAAAAATCATGTTGGGTCGGAGTGGAACATGTTAGAAGATTGGACGTCGAGCTAGAGGATCGGTCGACGTATCGGTAGAAGGCTTCAAGCCATGGGTTTGGGCATCGAGCCAAGAAGAGCGAAAATTGCGCTAAGGAAATCGGAGTTGCGGAGGTCAACTAGCCGATTGGGCAATAGGCCGTAAGAGAGGATGATATACTGAAGAATCAGACAAAGCGTCGATGAACTAATGACATGCCGGACAATATTTGATCTAAGCTTTGTAATAATTATCTAGATCAAAGTAAGTTTTAAGTATACTTGGGTTGGAATTGTGCCAACTCAATTAGGGGCCTATTGAGCCTAAGTAAGGGCTGAGTTGGGCCGAATAGAAGACCCACTCGGCCACTTGGACCCATGCCAGGCGGTGGCACCACTTGAGGCTCAGCCTCCCAGGTGGTTTAGGTGGTGGTACCACCAGTGCCTAGTCTCTGAGACTGTCAGGTGGTGGTATCGTCAGACTGGGCGATGGTACTGCCAGACTAGGCAGTGGTACCACCCATTGTCAAGCGGTGATACCACCAGATTGGGCGGTGGTACAACCAGTACCCCGAAAATCAAGGATGAGACACTTTTAGGCTCCAAGTTTAAATCCATTTGAAGCCTATAAATACCCCTCTCATCCCTACTCAGATTACACAACATTTAAGAGCAAAAAGAAACAAAAACACTATTGTAATCATGTGAGAACTCCTCTTAAACTCTAAGTGTTAGTTTTGTTTTAAAAAGGAGTGAGGGGGTTGTAAAAGTTCTCTCCTGAACCTGTCAAAAGGAGAATTGAGTTGTAAAAGGATAGTTGATCTTCGCCCATTGAAGGAAGATCAGTAGTAGAAGCCGATGGCCTTGAGTGAGGAGAAATCGGGAGTAGATGTAGGTCATGACGACAGAACCACTATAAATCAGTTTACATTTCTGTTTTGTTGTTTATCTTTATAGCAAACTACCTTACCTTCTTATTGCTTTTACTACGCTTTCAATTTTAAGTTATCTTTCTGAAATCCGCTTTAATCGAAAAGAATGTTTCAAAACTGACGTTTTTATCCACTACACTAATTCACCCCCCCTCTTAGTGCCGACTCGGTCCAAACACCTATAGCTAAGGATTCCTAGCTACAAAGAACATCCCTAGTAGCTAGGGTTTTCTAGCCGCCTAGGAGGCCTTGGCGATCAGGATTCCTAGCCACATGGGGTAAGCAAGAGACCAGGTTTCCTGGCTACCCATGGCTGCTCTCGATTTCTCCCTATAACGATGAAAGGTCACGTGGGTCAATCAATCGTCTCACGTTTATTGACTTAATATTATCGAGAGAGAGAGTTTTGATTCGGTCTCCCGGTATAATGTGTCGCACGCATATATATTTAGTATATATCTATATCACATGCAAATATATATACATATCTAGTAAGTGTATAATCAATCATATATCACATGAGCAATCACACCAGATAATCGTGGACCACAACCTAATATGATTAAGCCCGAGTCAGTGGGCCCAATCACTCACATCATGATCTATGTGTGCATTGGTGTATCTTCATGCCATGTGATCGTCCATCTTGTCTTTATCGGTTCCGTCGGCATCTCAATGCATCGCCATGCGTCGCGATCATCCGTCTCGGGCTTGTGGGTGCCATTGTCACCTTCATGCTCCCGCCGCGTCTCCTCGTACAATTATAATATAATCACAAGCACGCAGGCTCGATAATAAACGAGAAAAATTAGAGGCTCGTAGGCCTCGATAATAATAATAATCACATCACATGCATATACATATCACACGGTTCATTATCATCTGTCCACATCACACATCACACGTACACATCACTATGTAGGACTAGTCGATAATAATAATAATTTATTAATTAAATTATTTAATTAATTATTCTGTAGTATTTTGGGTGTTAGTCATTGGTGTCCTGTAAGCCAATCATGTGAATGATGTCACATGTGACATGATACATATTTTTTTTCTTATTATTTATTTGATTTTTTTTTCACTTTATATTACTCATTATATATATTGTGATATTCATGGATCTATGCAATGTGAATCGGATTAAGATGAGATTACGATAATGAGATCGATTTGCCATTAAACACATACCCTAAATAATTCTGGTCGTAGGTTACTTGAGAGGGACATCGAGATAACCGGATAGACTAGTGTACTGTATACTCATCCATATAATGGAGGCGATTGGTCTCATAGCGACTTGTGTGGGGACACTAGGGATATTGTGCATGTGCTCATTAAAGAATAAGTTCACTAATTGATCTGCTCACGGAATGCTTGATGATTAATGATACTTCAATGTCAGATAACGATTTCATCATCCTGTATGAGTATTCCACTCTTTGATACCAAACTTATAGGTCTGAAAGTTCCAGATCTAGTACAACCGATCATCGGAAGTGACAACCAACCTTTCAAGGGCAATTGAGTGTCGATAGAGAATCATCCGCTCTCCGTGTCTTAAGAGGAATGTCCTATATATTCTTGCTCAGGCAAATCCCTAGCTAGAGTCATTTGGATTGAGAGAGAAAGAGTTCTTTGGGAAAATCTGATTAAAGCGAGACTCAAGTAGAAACCGTATGAGCCAGACAACACCATATCCAGTATACAGTCTCTGGGATATTAGATGGATGAGGGACTATAGATATACGATTAATGAGGACAGATAGGTTCAATAGATTAGATTCTCCTATATTGTCTAGGGACTACGGCGTAGCGGCCTAGTACGTCCACAATCGATGAGTCTAATGAATTGATAATAATTCACTGAGCTAGAAGGAGTTTTGACAGATATGACTAATGGTCAGGTCGATATTAGGCCTAAAGAGTCATACACATATGGTAGGTGTTGTGACGAATAGAGGTTCAAATATGATATATTCGTCGGAGCCCCCTATCTTATTGGATATCCAATAAGCTCTCGAATTATTGGATCCTATGGATCAGATCCAATAAGAGCCAATGAGAGATTGTTGGGTAGAGATCCACTAATCTAAAAGTCTTGGGTAGTTGGATAGAGATCTAGTACCTAATAGGGCAGGATTTATTAAGATAAATTTATAAGGAATAAGTTTATAAGTTTCCATTACATTTGTCGTTTGTTGCTGATTTTCTTCTTTCATGCATAAAATTTTGTGATTGGAAGATGTTTCTTGCAGAACTAATAGTTTCCTTCGTTACCTTATCATAAATGAGATTCCAAATTTATTGAAAATATCTAAATCCCATAATGTAAAACACAGCACCG